TGCAATATCTCGATAGTAAAAAGCTAGCAGCACGAACTTTTTTCAGATTATTCATAGATCATTAGGGTCTACATGATGCACATACACTCGACTCAAAAGCGATGTTCCCTCGTAAATTCATTATCAGTCAGTGGAAATGATATAAGTAGATTAGCAGATGATGGATATATGAAATTTAGTAGCAGACGAACTGGAGTTCATTCAAGTGAACATGATCTTGTAGTTTGTTATTCGAATAAAAAAAAAAAAAAAAGAAATTCGACGAATATTTTTTTTGTTTTTTAGGATGTTTTTTATGAATGAACAAATATGATGGAATTCTTTTGTGCACTTGGAAGTGTTTTGTTAACAGTCAAAAATCAAGCAGAGTAAGTCAACTTTTGTAATAAACGGAGAATGAATTCCGTCTAAACATTCGAGAATATACAAAGAAAGAATTATGAGATCTAAAAGGATAACAGCAAAGAAGATGAGTGAGCTCAGAACCTTGTCTGGTATCTTTTTGCCAAAGTAAAAATTCATTGAAACAAAAGTTATAGAACAAATCAAGGTCTACATGATCCATGAGTTTGCTTATTCTGTGGTCTTTAATTAAAACATCTTCTAAAAAGAAGATGTGGCATCCGTACCGATCATGAAAGTATTCTAAGGTTTGGTCAGTTTCTGATAATTCTAGGCATAACTCTTGATGATTTTTAGAAGTAGTAAGAGTCAAAAATCGGTATATACTTAATACTTTCAAAGACACGACATGAAAATTGGGAGAACTAATCTTTCCCTTCGTCGACTGGTCTGACTTAAGGAGCCCTCAGAAAATCTAATTTTTCGAAGAAAATTCGAAGTCAAGTTTTTATTATAGGAAGGTGCATTGGAGTCCTCTCTTTCAGAATATACAGGATGTCTCAAAAGTTCGTTAGGAAAGTTAACGTCAATATTTCTAACATAATACAAGCGATTTAATTAATTTTTTACTAGAATGTGAGTGTAGTCTTTAAAGTTTTATTTCATATATATTAGTTTATAATAAATGTTCAAAATGATTATCATCAACTGAAAAAAACATAAATCCATCGTTTTCGAAATCTTTAAAAAAAATACTATGGAAAGTTTATTTTCAAATTAATTTATTTATGTTATCGGTTCTTATTTTGAATTGAACTAAATCTTTATATATATATATACAGTAAAACCTCTCTATAGCGGACACCTTCCGGACTTTTCAAAAGTGTCCACTATATAGAGGTGTCCATTTTAAAGAGGTTAAGCTTTTTTCAGAAAAAAAGAAACTTTTTCAAAGAAACAAGTGTGCTTTTAGATATCTGAAGTTTCAATGACTAAGATAACTAACTAGATCACATTTAATTAGTTCAACCTTTTTTTCCAAAGTTAACGATATTCGATTCGACATGATGCTCTTTTTTTCTTGTTGTGATTCAAAAATGGAATGAAACAATGTTATTATCATTCTCTTTATATTTATTTTTCGTCGATTCACAACAAGACAGACGATTTTTTTCTATATCTCTTACGTCTAATTGATAAACAATAGTCAACACACTATATTTGATTGTGATCATCATAGAATGTTCTGTTCATTTAAATAAGTGTCCACTATAGTGAGGTATTTTATGCAATCGGGACTGATAAATAGTGTCCATTAAAGGGAGGGGTCCACTTTAGGGAGGTGTCCATTATGCAGAGGTTCATTTCCAGCAAAAATTGTTTCGTCGGACCACAAACTGTCCGTTATAGAGAGTTGTCCACTATGGGAGGTTTTACTGTATATATATATATCTTATACACATAGGTCTTTACTTTATATTTATCGATAAATCATTTAAATGAAAAGAGACTTCGTCTGAAAAAAAAAATTTTTTCTGATTGTTGATATTTGTAACGTTCCTATCAAAGTGATATAATTTTAACTCAATCTTGTGAATCTTCTCCATGAAGTTGTAGGACAAATTACATTCTATAGAGATTCATTAAATGATATTCAGTAATAATAATTCGATCTGCTATTGTTCATGGAATGAAGCAGACTGTTGCAATGATCCGCACATTCAATAGTGGCACATTTTCACAATCACTATAAACTTCGTCGATTTTTTCTTCTGAAATTTTTTAAGGTCTATTCAGATTGTTGTCCATTTACTACTATACTCATTTTGCAGAAGCCTTAAAAAGCATCAATAGTAGAGTCTATGTCTGACATTTTCATGGCAAATTCGATTCGTATTTTTCGTTTCACAACAATAGATGACTTAAATTTGGACATTAACAAAACTATTTTCATTCTAATATTTATAAGCAAACACATTTATCTGAAACATGCGAAACAAAACTTTAAAGAACATACTAACATTCTATAAAAAAAATCACTTAAATCACTTGAATTGTATAAGAGATATATATGTTAACTTTCCTAACGGATTTTTGGGACACCTTGTATATAGATTTTCGCAAAATGGATGGACTTTGACTGATTTAATGACTAAAACTTAGGGTTTACTATCGTTTTTTTCGCTGTTTTTTTTGCTAAGGTTTTTAGTTTTTGAAATAGTGCCTTTCTATTTGTATCAGCATTGAATAAAACGTTTTTATATTAATGATTAAGAGTCTATACTAACACTTAAGATAAAGATCACATATTTCGAGCTTCTCTTCAACACTGATATATAAATCGCGTATGTTTCGTAAAAACCTAAGGAATTTGAATGAAAAAATTGTTTTCTAAAATTTCTTTAGCATTTTTCTTAAAATCAATTTTTTCGAGTATAGGATTTATGTGGGCAAGCTTTTCTTGATAACGACGCAATATAGAAGAGGTAAATTTTTTTTTATTATACAAAAGATAGTTAGAGCTAGATCCTAATAGAGCCCAATTTTTGAATTTCTTTTTTGCTGAAATAAAAAGCTTAGCTCTTTCATTTTAATTAGTGATTTTTTTTTGGCCACAAAGTCGAGAATTTTTCCAAAAAGCTTTTTTTTGAAAAACAAACAAAGGGAAATTGAAAAATTGCCCTCTATTATGATCTAGTCCAAAGGATACTCTACAATTGAAAAATCACTCGAACTAGTTAGCTCATATCCTCATTGTAAAAACCTTGCCCATGTACAGGATAGTGTTTGATCAATGAATTGGCTATAACTTTTCAGTATTTTGAAGATTCAAGGAGATATTTTACTCATAATCTATTTTAGCTAAGACTAACATTCTCGGAAGTTTTTGATTGAAATAGGACAAAAAATTAAAAAAATTCGTTCCTGAAAGGTTCTCTTAATTTTATTCTCTTTTACTATTTAACTGCCAATGATTGCGTCTCATCTTTGAGTTCGACATCCATCTAATCTATCTCATAGGAATTCTACTGAAAAAAAATTTTTCTTTGTTTTAGTCAATATGGAATTCCAGCTGATACCCGTCGTAACATCAATGGAACCAGTTATTTTTGATCTTCATTATTGTCTAGTAACACAGTAAGTCTTTTTTCTTTTGATTTTATTAATTTGAAATAAAAAAAAAGTTTTATGAATAGATTTATTGGTGATTGTTTAAAAATATTTGGTTTACAAATTCAATATCCATATACAAGATTTAGTTGGTCATGAATTAAATTCATTATGTTATCCAATATTATTTGAACAAACTAAAATTGAAGTTGATAAATTTTTGATTGAAAGGAACAAGTTATTTGTTCCAAACAAAATACATAATTTATCGATAGTATTATTGTTATAATACATTCAATATTTGAAATGAAAGCTCAACAATCAGTTCAAAATTCTTTCGAAAGCCGAACAACAATTAGTAGTTCATCAAATACATTAGTTGTTCCAAATAATAATATGAGTTCATCAACATCTGTTGTTGGTAGATCATCAAATGATCCAAATTCAACTTAACCAAATGAAAATGGACGTGATGGACTGTAACAAATAAATGAAAATCCATTAGCTAATACAAATAGTTTAGAAGAACTTGTATTAAAGATTGTTCGTTATGTTCGACATTTAAATACAAATATTGAAGCTATTCCTATACCAATACATGTTTATCAACTTGTTGAATTAATGATGAAAAGATGATATAATTTATCATTTCGAGAAGAAATTAAATTTCGTAATAAACTTATGGAATACTTAACTGATTGGATTATAGAAAATTCACATGAATTTAATCAAGTAAATAAAAACTAAATAAATATTGTTTTTTCAATAGAATCCTTCTTCTTAATAGATGAATATTTTATAATTAGAAAAAGTTATATTTATGAATTATATATAATTTAGCAAAAAAAGCGCTAGGAAATAAAAAGTGTTTCTGATAATGTATTATTTCGTTTTGTACTAATTGATAACGAATTTCATTGCTCCATGAATCTAATTATGAAGCATTAATAAATCGACAAAATCAATCTATTTTGCTATGACATGTTTGTGTAAATTAAAAACAGTACTTCGTCAATTATTTTTATTCATTTTATCTGGTAATATTGAAAGATTCATTGATGATGTTCCAATGGATTAATTCTCTGAATAAAGAATATTTTGTAAAATAATCGGACATTTGTTTAACCAATATTCTGAACAAATCATGTTAATAGATAAAAAAAAAAGACAATAATTGATTTATTCAAATTACATATTCGAACTTGATTAAAAGTAACTTTTGAATAAAGTTTATTACCATTTAATTTATGATCACATTCTTTTAATAGTTGAAAAACAAATAAAATATTTTTATGAATTTCAATTAGACAAATATTTTTCATTGGAAATGAAAATATATCTCGATCATGTTTTTCATTACGTAAATCATAGATCGATATTCTCGATTTAATTCATATTTATCTAATGAGAAAATATTTGCAAACGATGGAAAAATTTTTCTTGACACTACAGTTTCATGTTAAAGAACAAGAATATATGAATAACAAATCAATGAACTATTTTATAATCTTATAGAGATAAGATAATGGAAGCTGATGCTATCCATGATATGTCATTGAATTCGTGTTTAAAAAAACATTTTATCGACTGATGTCACTACCATACATTATTTTAGCATCATTTGTTATCATGAAGTACCATACCTCATGGATAATTTTTCATAATGGCGTCTTTTATAATTCATGTGAATTGATTGGTTCGTATTAGAGAGAGAGAGAGTTTGATGTTCGACTCCTTTTTTTATTTTATTTTATTTCAAAGAAAATGTCCGCACGCACATATACAGTATAACTATCTGCCCTTCAAGAAAAAAAAAGAAACATATATACATATATATATATATATATGTGTGTGTGTGTGTGTGTGTATATATCGACTACCTAGATCATGGGTTAAACTTAAGGACAAAAGAATAAAGAGTGATCAAGGTTACATAACATCAAGAGAGATCCAACAAGAAGAGAGAGAGAAAGAGAAAAAAAATAAAGAAAGTAACAACGCAAAGGTGAATCCGCTAACAGTTCGTTTTTTGGTAACGTGCAGTTATTTGTTCGTGACGTGTGAAATAATATAATTGATCCTCGTCGGGATTTGGTATATTAACATAAGTATTGATTGAATTACGTACAAAATAAAATAAAATAAAATGGGCCGCGTCGGAAGAAAACAAGAAGTTATAACTCATTTAACAACTTATTATTCTGATTTAACTGATGATGCAGCTGGTCGTATCTACGATGAAGCAACGAACTTGTATCATGAATCATTAACATACACTAATTTTAATTTATTGTTGGAAAGGGACGAGAAAATTATTTCGGCACTCGTTACCATTATTATATTTGAAATCGATTTAGATAAACTAAAGGGGTATGTGCATTGATTGTTCCATAAAAAATGAAACTCTTTTTTTACAGACTTCATGGACAAATTATGATGTTTATTCTTTTTTCGTACAAAACAATTGCTCCGACATATGTTTTTGTACAAGCAATTGGTCATTATGTTCAAGACGATGGCGACGTGATTCAATCAACAAAATTATTACGAATAATATTGGATAGTTTATATGATTATGTTGTAAGATAAAATATTTATGTTTAGAATGGATATCCTTTACTTTATTTTCTAGAACAAATCAAAAATTGATTCATTGAATTCACATTCTCATTTGTTCAAATCATTTAACAGAAACTTAAACTTATTAGAACAACAAAGAAAAGAAATGCTTGAAGATGTTAAAAAACAAGAAGAAGCAAAAAAGTTTATTGAAAGTGATGTAGAAGCAGAAATTAAAAAGGTTAGTATTAAAGCTTTTGTAATAAAATATTCAAATTTTTTGCTTTGTCAGATTCAATAAAAACTCAATAAATTTTTGTAAGTATATGTGATAAATATAAAAGAAAAACTTACGATTTTCTTTTTGTTTTAGAAGTGAAAAAAAAATATTATTATCGGTAAACTTTCACCTTTTTTTGAAGATTCGTTTTTATTTGTTTGTTTCTTTTTCGACGATATTTATAGGAGGAAAGTGATGATGATTGATAATAATAATGATAATGATAATGATGAATGAACTTTATAATGAACTAGTCATTTTTTTTGTCTTTCAACTTCTTTTTTATTTTTCTTTTGGTGCAGATAGTTGTTCATCATCTTCATTTTTTCTATATCTAAAAATCCCTCTAAGAGAGATTTATCAACAACATTTATCATATTTTTCTTTTTAGATAATGTTTATAGATTATCTTCCTCATAATATTTTATATCATTTATGTAAATATTTATCAATTATTGATATTATAAACTTATCAAAAACATGCAAACAATTATATATATTAACTGAAAATGATAATTATTTTTGGATGATGTTAATTAAAAATCATTTTGGTTTTAAGTTATATAAACGTTATGTTCATGAAATATTTTATAACGAAAAGAATTCAGATTATGTTTTATATCGTACGAATAAAGACAAAGAAAAATTCGAAAAATATTTTGAAATAAATAAATTATTTCTTGTATGTATTACATGGGTATTCAATATGTTAAATTGTAAAGATAGTATTGATGGTTATTTAGCTTATAAAAGTTTAATGAAACAAAAAAAACATCCACGTACAAATGATTTACGAATGTCTCTTACAATAGAAGAAGTATTCGATTATTATCTTAAAAGAAATAATTATTTAACTAAAGAAAATATTTTACAAATATCATTTTATAAATTAATTTATTTTTATTTAATTGAATTAAAACGTTTACTAGCTGTAAATTTGTTTGGAATACATTTACATTGTTCAAAGGATCATTTAAATTGTATTAATAGATTATATCCCAAACAAGAAGATGATTTAACAAGTTCAATAGGTCGATGTGTTCGTTTATATACAGTTCGTCCTCAATTTCTATTTGGTATTAGAGGTAAGTTTAAATCAATATGGCCTGGAATATATGAAATTATATGTCGTATTAAACTGGATAAGAATGAAGAATATTTAACATTTTACAATGAATATTGTAGTCGAGCTCCAGGATCAGAAAAAAATGTCCAATGCTATTTTTATGCATTAGCTGGTCATGGTCTTGATTGTGAATGCAACGGGAAAAAAATGAATTTCAATTGGTTTGAATCAAAATATTTACTATATGGTAATCAAAATTGGTTCAATGAAACAATGGGAAAAATAAAAGTATTCGAATTATCGGATATTTATTTTGGATTTCAAATTAAAAATGAATATTGTTATCGTAATATTTTACTTGATTATGTACAATTAAATATTGTTGAATAATATGTTTTTTTTCTTACTATGTAAGATAGAATTGTTTAAAATAAATAGTGTTAAATTTAATTGTTTTTCCTTTTTTTTACAAGTTTTCAAAAGAATAGAAAATTTTGTTTTTGTTATATAGATACAAATACTGCTTAGTAAAAATGAAAATAGTTAGTCTTTGATGACAATTATTGAAAGAAAAAAGCTGCTAGTGCAATTCGTACGGAATAGCAATATAAAACATGATGATACTGCTGATATTGTACATAATGAATTTAATAACACGTCATTTATTTTTGTAACTACCACATACTGTTTATGTATATTTTATAATGATGCCAACTGTAATGATAACAGTAGTAGGAATTTATTAGACT